GGATATTTGGGAAATGATTTAATCTACACTAGGAGCCATTGGGAGCTTGATTTGGTCTTAATGTATGTTTAGGTTTCTTTGTCCATTTGGGCACAAAGTTCTATTCTCAGTTGGTTGAGAGCAAATCATTTATTATAATTATTGTATTTGGGTTTTGTGGGACCATGTTTTCAATAAAAGAACACAGAAAAATTAAGTCGCGGAAGGGGGATATGGGGTTGTAAATGGAAGAATTTAGGGGAAAAGATAGGTGCCTAACAAGATCTGAACACAGGCATTATTTTAATGAATCATATGTTGAGTAGTACTCTGAAATAACATTACTTTAACATTGCTAATAATTTTTAACCCAATAAGATTTTCAATTGACCTGGGGGTTTTATTTAACAGAAAGTTCAATAGAGATAGTGTCATGCACCATAATAGATTTCAGGAACAATAATCAGAGACATAACTTAAACACAACAGAGTTCAATGGACAGGCAAGCACATGATGGTATCGTATGATTTAAAGCACCAGAATCTTGCGAGTTTTCTTATTATTGATATTGTTATTATTGAGTCATTTCGTGCCAGTGTTTCCCAAATTCAAGCTATGTGGAGACATGAAATGAATAGGTGAACTTGACATCATCATGTCATTAATGGTCAACCTGACATGCTATCCGCAAAATTTGTCCTTCAGCTGAAATCTTACTCGGGAATGCAATTTTGTTATTGTTTATCAATATACATAAAAATATCCGAGCGTTTGTTTATTTTGGTCAGCCACTCTGTGTATCAATCAGCATAACCCACTTCATATCACTCTGATTGGTTTCTAGTGTGATTTATTGTTGCTGAGCCGACCAGTAGTTTAGATTTGTACTTGAGTTATTACTTTTGTACTAGTGATACATGAAAAAGGCACCTAGCTGCTTTCAGCCAGTCAAGAGTGTAATTTTTCATGCATATCAGTATTGTGATGAATTAACCAAAACCAAACAAGTAACAAAAAAAGGAGTTGTAGTCTGGGGTGTTGGGTTGGAGAGTAAAAAAAGCTCCTTCGAAGGAGGTGGCTGATGGGCGAGGAGGGCATTACCCCACGCCTGACATGGGGCATGTAGCTTTATAATTAGTCACCTACTCATGCCATTATATTTTAATCCCGCGAATAAGTGGGAGACGCCTGTGATTATCCTTGGGAAATGCCATATAAAGCAGAAGAACACGTTTCTGAGCCACGTGGAAACCTCAAATGTATCACTGATTTTGCTGTTCGGAAAATGTTTTGAACATCTGCGAGACGTAGACAAACTAACAAGTGTTAACGCCAACCTGGGAACGAGGTTAGTGTCACGCCATTTCGCGTTCATCAATCACAAATACGCGAAGCTATCGTTCACGTCATTCTTATAGCCGGACTGCCCAGTTTCGAGCTGGGACTCAGTAAGAAAAACTTATTTGAAATATTTGTTCGATTGGTTATAAATCCGCGTCAAACATTGCAAGCGTTTCTTGTAGTATCCTGTGTCTGCGAACATTCGCCTAAGTCTCCATAGGCCTCTGGAATAGTCCGGAAGCTTTAGGGCATTGAATGCACATATCGACCTGCGGGGTATCATGAAAACGTTTTTAAAACCAGGGGTATCATGAAAACGTTTTTAAAACCAGTTAAAACGTCGCCATGTATTATGTTCCCTCTCTGTCAATCGTAATTTCCAAAATAATCTTACCATCATGTGACGAGTAATTTACATCCACGTGGGAATCAGCTCAGTCACGGGATAATTATGTCAACGCCATACTACATCAACAAAAATACTGCATGATGAAACAACCGTTTTTTAGTGACTTGCAGAGTCATCAAGGTCATAACTTACTTGTGGTTCTCAGGAGCGTGCAGGGAAAGTATCAGTAAGTCGTGTTACATCCATGTCCTTTTTGACCCACAATCTCGTAACTGTTCCCATTATTGTTGGAGTTACCAGAATTTCGAGAACTTTTTCTCAAGTTTTAGAGTTGTTAAATCCTTGACTTAATTCATAGTTTCTCAGACTTCCATAAAAAAGAAAAAAAATTGGATGTCTTGTCGACCGAGAAAGTGCTCTGAGGTTTATTTATATTTTATCATGCTGCTGATCGATTATCGAGCGAACTCGTTGCTCGCTGTAAATTTCAATCCTTTCATTCGGTTAAACCATGTAACTTTTATTTATTTTTTTTTAACGCAGTGTTGAGTAATCATATTAGCTGTACAGCTTTGTTACTTTTTGAAAGTTGCGCACTTTTTGAATAACTAACAGATGATTTCATAGCCCTATTTATCATGTATGTTCTTCAGTGCCATCTCAGCGTGACACCTCTTAATTAATTGTTGGAATATGGAATAGACTTCTGGATTTGGGAACTATGACATAAGCGAACAAGGACGCGAACGCCGTAAATTTGAGAAATTTCTGTTTAGTTTGTTCACCTCTCTGGTTTTCTTGCATGGATATACCGGGAGAGGTCATTCGTCGCCAAAAGAGTATAAGGGGAGAGGGGGTGGGGGGGGGCTTATCGGGGGGGCTGTAAATTATTTACTGCCAATTAATTACCAGGGAGAGGAGGAACATAGGATTATCATAGAGCCTTATGGGGGATCAGGTAAATTAAATCGTGACACAACAAAAACCCTTCGTCCCCCCCCTCCCTCAGGAGGTAAATAATGACCAGTCCCAGGCCTTCCACGGCCAAGCGGTATTTCAGTTACATGGCTGGGATCTGGTTACGAGATTAGACAAGTCCATAGGTTAAAGGCACAGTCAGGGATCATCTTCACCTGCGCTGAGTTCAGTTTTATCCATGCAACGATAAAACACTTGTTTTTGTCTCTATGAGTCAAATTCAGCTCAAGTTGTTATTACTTATTACCATCATAATGAAAAAAAGAAACAACGTTTTTTTAATCTTCGAAATCCTGAGCACTTTTTAAGTAACAAAGCTCGTAAAAACGTGTCAGTTATGGCCACTTAAATCATGCAGACATCTGTAGAAATATTGGGAGTTCCTTAGCCTGTCTATGTACACGAGAATTTATAACAAAGCGTAGGAAACTTGAAGAACATTAGACTCACATTTGTGAAACGTTTTTTTCACCTCAGTCTATCGTTCATTCTCTCTTACGCAGTGACATTCCACGCGATATTACGAAACAAACAATAGAATCATTCAAACAAAACCAGCAGCAACACGGAGAAACTCGACTGTTGTTGGCCCACTGGATCCAAACGAAGCTGAAAGTTTCCCCAGAAACTCGCCTCCTGGTGAGTCTTCATGGTCTGGAGAGAAACTTATGGATGAAGAAAGCTACTGCCATCTGCCTAAAAGAGAGTACGGCCATCTTCTATTTGAGCGTGACCTTGCTGAAAGAAGTCTCAGAGTTGCAAATTACCGGCTTTCCGACGAGCGACGAAAACAAAGAAACCAAAGAAGATATGGTAGGGATTCCTGCCTTTTTATTTCGCTCTGAGTTTCTGCGTAGAGACACATACTGAAAATTTAATTCAAAGGCGGCTCAAATATCATCTTCAAACCTTTCCCAGTTCGCAATACCCCTACTTCAAGAAGGGCACTACAGTGTCCGGAGTTCCATCAGTTAAATAAGACCGCAAAGCCGTGTTTTCGTGAATTATTATCTTGAGTGTGGACTTTCATGGGTAGGCCCCTTTTATTTTACCGTGGACAAATCTGCCCATTATCCTTCGTATATTTAGCCTTCTGTCCTTAATTTCTCACCTGTTTCCCGTGGTATGAAGGTCCCCTATACTTTTTTACTTGAAGCGTGCTTGGGCGACTTTTTTCTCGTGAATCGTCATTTAAGTTTTTCTTTATTCGTGAATTAGGACTGGATCATATCCACACGTATTTTGCGCACTATAAGTAAAAAATTATCATTATTCTATGTAATCGTGATTAAAGGTGACAAAATCTTTTCGTGTCCACGTGAGTCTTTTATTCAAACGTGACTCGAGCTCGTGAATGAAGAACCGAATTGAACATGATTCGTGAACGTGAATCATTTCGTTTTGCGTGATGAATTTCCAGCAATCCTGTTGTTTTAGACAGGACATCAGCTTTACATGAATCGATAACAGTCATAACAGAGACCACTAATGGTCCTTGAACAAGTAAGACAAGCCATAAGGTCATCTTTTCTCACTTCTGACTGGTCAACACTAGAAAAAAGCAAAAAAAGAATTCGTGAATTTTTTTTTTTGTTTGTTTCTATGTGAAACGTGACCCTCTCAAGTTTCGCGTGAACATGAAAGAATTTTGGATATTATTCGTCATGAGTGAGAAGGCCAAACGTTTTTACGTGACTGAGTTTTATAAAGGTTATAGGGGACCCTCTGGTATCCCATCTGTAGATTTTCTCAGCAATAAGAAATGTGTTTGAATTTAACCCGGCTAACATGCCTTTACTATTTGAACTTTCCTCAGGAGCTGTTGCAACTAAAATTCAGCGAAACAGCATGGAAAATGCACACGAGGGACCGAACCAGTCTAGCCCCCGACTGAACTCGAAATATTCGAAATTACCCTTAGATCATCACACTAGTGGAGCGGAAAAGATGGAACTACATAATCATCTTAACGGGAGCGCAAATCACCTTAGCGATAGCCAAAAAAGTAACTCTGAAGACGAAAACAAACACGGAATCAAGGACGCCAATAATTGCGTTAACAGTTCTAATGACAATGACGATTTTTTTGGTGATGACGACAACCACGACAACTTTGCCAACAACTTTGGCTTTTTTGCCAAGAGTTGCACAGTTCAAGCGCCCCTATATCCACATGCAGAAGAAACTTCTGTAGGGTCAGAAGAAACAGCGGAATCTCTGATTGACACCATTGACGAGGACACGGGTAACTCTTGTGCTGAGAACAATGATGGTAGCCTAGCCAGTAGCAACAGTATCACCAGCAATATTGACACTTCTTGTGAAAATTCCATCACCAGAAGTGACAAGAAAAAAGCTACAGACGTGCAGAAAACTAGCAGTTATGAAATAGGAAATAATGTCGAGTTTTTAGTGGAAAGAAACGGTGAAGCTAAAAGTCAAGGAGCAAGACCAAAGAATCTTCTTCAGAATCCAACGATGTTCAACACATTTTAAACAAACTATCACGATGGGAAGATACCATCATTGGAGACAACTGGTATTTGTCAAACTTTTCTTGCCCGGCACTCTACAGATCCGAGTCTTCCGCAAAGTTTGTTTACAGAAAGTTACGACATGCGCAACAGTTATTCAAACGGTTGGACCCAACATTCTGTAACCGGTAATAGCAGGTCCCCTCCACACTGGAGTGTCCCCCGTTTGCGGGCTCCACAAAGATGTGGGTTGATGCTGGAGGACGCACAACCCAGGGGGTTGGGTCCACGGTACGGAGATCCAATGCTGGCAAATTACCAACCTGTGATACAAATGGCGGGACAGTTCCCCTACGCCAGTGGCTTCAGCCAAACGAGCTTTTCAAGTTTTGGTGACTTTTATGCAGGGAATGGGACTCAGACAACATCACCTTCACTCGGAGTCAGTCCTCTGGCGCCCGCTGTGAGATATCCAGCGGTTACCATACCAAATTCCAGGATAAATGTTCCGACCACGACTTCGCAATACTCTTTAAGTTCGATGTCTGCAAGTTTCCCTCTAGTTACTTCCACCAATATTGTGTTTAATAGAGGGTATAGAGATACCCAAGAAAAAGGTGGCTTAAACTCATCAGATCTGGGTGATTCAGAGAGACAGGAAGAGAGATTACGGAACCATGACCTTTTCAGTGGTCATCAGGAGGGTTCATTTGCGTCACTATCGCTTAGGGATCCTTTACTGGTTTCTCTTGAACAACAAGTGGCTGAAATCGATAGAGTTCTTAAAGAGCGAGAAGAACGGACCAAAAGGCAGAGAGAAGCAGCGCAAAGACATAAGGAGATAAGGGAAACGAGGCAAAGAGAGGCAAGAGAAGGAAAAGAGAGAGAAGAAAGAGAAATGAGAGAACAAGAGGAGAAAGAAAGGAGAGAGAGGGAACAGAGAGAAACAAGAGAAAGAGAAGAGAGAGAAACGAGAGAGAGGGGACTGAGAGAAATGAGAGAAAGAGAAGAGAGAGAAACGAGAGAGAGGGAACTGAGAGAAAGAGAAGAGAGAGAAACGAGAGAGAGGGAACTGAGAGAAATAAGAGAAAGAGAACAAAGAGGAACGAGAGAGAGAGAGGATGGAGAAATTAGAGAAAGAGAAAACAGAGAAGGAATGGAGAGAGAATTGGGTTGGCGAAGAGAAGGAGAAACAAGGGAGACAGAAGAAATAATAGTAGAAGGGAACCAACCAATTCAGGAGACTCCTCTATGGCAGTGTGAACATTACCAGCGGAGATGTAGTGTCAAGTTTCCATGTTGCGGAGCGTTTTATCCGTGCCACCGCTGTCACAATTTATCGGGGACATGTCCTGCTGATGATAAGAAGGCACATCATGCGACACATGTCAAATGCGGAAATTGCGGACGCGAAGAAGAGGTTAGTATCTGGTATATTTGGTATCCTGTCGTACTGAAGTAGCTTAGAGAAACAAAATTCTAAAAGCACAATTTTGTCCCAAAATACCTGACGTTAAAATCCCATGGGAGTAAGTTACATCTAACCTCAGGTTGATCAGAAAATCAAGATCAGTAGAAGGTCTTTGCCATGAGCGACGATAAAAACCAAATTCCTTTTCAACATGAAGATCAACCAGATCAAGGAAACAATTACGACGAACTACAGATATTGCTTGTGATGCATTTATTATGCACAATGTTTAGTTAAATGTGTAGAGAGATGAACAAATTCTTGGCAGCATTCTCAAAAGTTTTTCTAGCAAGAACACTTACACTTTTCTTTAAAAATACTGCTTATTCTATATATATATATTGTAGATAAATGAAGGGAGTCAAACCTGCAGACGTTGTGGCGTAAAATTGTCAGAATATTTCTGCCCAAAGTGTAAGCATTTTACGGGAGTTGACAAGAACCCCTTTCACTGTGCGAAGTGTGAAATCTGCCGGTAGGTCGTTTTTCAGTCGATTTAAAATAAACAGAAACGTTTGTAAGTTTGTAGAAGTTGTACTTATCTGTAGATTCTAGTCAGCTGCGGATGGAGACAAAATTGAAGTTAGCTTCTTATCGTTTTTACAATGCGCTGTCCTCTTGTGAGCTACTTAGATAGTTTGCGAGCATTTAATTTTAGGAGGCAAATCCGAATGGAATAACGTTGTTGGTGTAATGGGCCTACTCTGCATTTTGGGTGAATTTTTCCCCCATTTTTTTTCCTTTAGCATTTACAAGGACAGATCTTTTCACTGCGATGTGTGCAATGTTTGCCTGGACAAGCGACTGGAAGGAAAACACAAATGTCGGCCGAATTCAGGGCATGACGAGTGTTGCATCTGTTTGGAGGTAATCATAGCTCACTTTTTATGCTTTCAGTGCTTCAAACACCTATCATTGATTTATGCATTTTAGTGAAACTGAGCAACCTCACAGCCGCTAGAGACACATGTTTCTGTTGGAATGTTATTGACACTTTTTATTTCACTCGTTATTTCAGGACGCGTTCAGCGGATGTCAGATCTTGCCATGCTCTCACAAGGTTCACAGAGAATGTGCCATTGCAATGATACAGAATGGCGTGTAAGTATGCTTAAAGTAGTCTATAAAAACTGTTCGTGACCTTTAAAGGATGTAAATGTCCAACAGTAAGTATGAACTATAGAATAAGGGTAATAACGATTTGTGACCGATTGTATTATCCATAAAGGTTTTTCCGAAAATCTGACTGAAAAGGGATAACTACGTCAATCCTTCGGGAAGAAACGATGCTGTCATCGTTTAACCGTTTCCAAAATTACCAATCGAAGTATAAGCTTCTCTTTATTGGTCCCACGAAAACTCTCCTCTGGGATGTAAAAATCTAACTTACATTCTACGGGTGAAAAAGGTTCAGCACAATACCAAGTAATGATGTACAATAACTTAAGGAAAATTGTGATTGAGCGTCCAACCCGCAATTGTTTTGCTTACTGTCCTTGAAAACGTTTGGCAGCCTTTTTACCAATCCAAGTGCAAACTAATATCAATTGCGATTTGGTCACACACGTTTTCCCGCGCTCCAAGAAATTTGAGTACGATCTTAATCGAGTTTCAAAAGTAATCTGGAATTGCATTGGTTTTTTTTCTTCATTTCGTCCTGTGATTGGCCTAGAAAACCCTGGCCAGCCTCTCATCCAATCAGCTGCAAAACTAGACTCATTCGCGACTTGATCACCCTTTCTTTTCCCGCCTTTGAAGAGGTTTACTTGTTTTTCCTCTGATTTCTCTTTGCGACTTGATCACCCTTTCTTTTCCCGCCTTTGAAGAGGTTTACTTGTTTTTCCTCTGATTTCTCTTTGGCTCCTTATGAAATTGTCTTTTTTCCGATTTTTTGGTTTTAGTTTTTGGAATCTTTATCAAAAGGCGCTCTAATAACATATACGGAATAGATATCTGACAGTTTTTTCTTTTGCTTTTAGACGTAATTGCCCAATATGCCGCCACCCTCTGTATGGTCAACTCCAGCAGTAACTTCTCAGACTCTCGAAACAGAGGGATCTAAGCCAAGATGGTGAATACAAGTTAGAATTCTTCATTAGCGAGTGCTTAAACCATTAACATCAAGAAATGTGTACTTTGCAGCGCTTGCTAACGTTTTATCTGATGCTTAGGAGTTGAATATAAGGAGAAAAACTCTTTAATTTTTTTGCAATCAATTTGGAATCAGTGCTAACAGGAAACTGAACGTAGAGCATTAGTTAGTACCAGGTTTCAAACGCATCAGAAAGTTAAGGTACACTTACAAGATAACAAAAATAATAAACAAATGAAACTGCTCATAACTGCTGGAAGGCAAAAAGAGATGAATGGCTAAATTAAACTTGACCAATGATAGGTCACAAGTCGACATGAGTAACTGATTATTAAGCAACATTCTTCTCTCTTGTCACTCAACGGAACTAAAAAGTGGTGGGCTATGAAAACGACTCATGTATTAGTGGGAATGGCAACGGCTCATGTACAATAACTGATAATGTTACGGCTGCTACGCCTTTATAATCGGACATTGATTCACAACAAGTTTAATTCGAGTTGTATCATGTTAAACCGAAAAAACAACGTTTTTGTTTGTCCATGAGGGACGCTATCATTTAAGTTTCACCCAAAACCATTTTTTTTTGTCTTTGCTTGGGCGAGCGATAAGTCATGTTTATCGTAATAGCGTTTTCCCACCTTATGTGAGTTAGTCTGGTCGAAAATTCGTACAAGCGGGACCGTTATAATTGTGTGAGTGCTTATGTTCCTTTTCATTGTACTTTTCTAAATATTTAGCCTTTTGTTAGTTTCGCCGAGTTATGCACTAGTTTCTTTTCATTGCACTTTTTAACAACCTGGTGACAATTGGCTGACGTTCTTCCCATTACGTTGGAACGCTACATGATTTACCACTTGGCTATTAGTTTACGTGAGAATTCGTTTTTAAGCGTTTCTCGTTTATTCTTTTGAATACATAACTTTTGTCGCGTTTGTTTTTTGGTCTTAGTATAACGTATGTCATTGTATCGGAATGTTTGGAATGTTAGTTTGTATGTTAGAATTAAACATAGCTTCTTCCTTACTGTTTTTATGATTCAATTAACGATAAGTACTTGGACGCCTCGGCTTTGTTCAATAAAACAATCTAATGCTTGTCCATAAAAGATATCCTCGATTCATTGTGCGTCTTCACTTGCGAAACTTAGTTGTCGTCGATATTTTCTTTGCATGTGTCGGCCGCGACAGATAAAGTATCTTTAGTAATAACAATCGCCTTCAATCTTTTAGCTCAGTTGAGTTACAAGATAGCAGAATTTTTCTCAATAATCGGCTACCTATGTCAACTAAGCTTCTTAATCCGTACTTTTGTTCGGCTGCACGTCCAAACGGAAGCCTACATTGACTTTGGTAAAAAGTGAGATGGTAAAAATGGTGAAATGCAAGAGCTATGGCTATTTTGTAGACATGTGGCTATGAGAGTTAACATCTACGCGACTGTAAAATGTAGTCGAAATCCACAAATCCGAAATTCGCACTATTTACTCGCGATTCGCTAAAAGCCAATATACATAAACAAGTTTAATATACAGAACAGGAAAGCAAAACGAAATACAAATAAAACAGGCAAAATGACGGACAAAATAACGAAACTTACAAGATTATGTGGCGACTACGACGACTTAAACATAATGACAACGGCGACAAGAAAACAACGGCAGAAGAAGCTATACCAAACAATAAAGACAATGCATAAAAATGAACACGAAAATATGAAATGTGACGTAACCTAAATGACTGGCAAACCTGATAAAATAACAAATATACACGGAATAACTGAAAATGGAAAACAATGTACAAAGGAACTGAATGTAAAACAAAGGTGAGGCGCCGTGACTACATAAAATACTAAACTGGGCCGTGTCCTTCTTTTAACCTTCTGCAAGTAAGGCCACGCGCGAATTTGAAATATTGCAGAACGTTGCACTGTGTGGTGCAAAAAAGTGTCTTGGTGACCCGTTAGTTAAATCAAAGTTTGTGTAGTGCACCATCGTATGACACACCGTGATTTGTATTTCTTAGGGCCAGTCATTATTTCAAGTATCGCCAAGCAAGGGGGGGAGGAGTAAGAGGATTTTGGGGTGGATCGCATCGACTGAGGAAAAAAGGGGGGGAGATCAGTCTTCGCCAACAGGGTGTAAAGGGGGGACATAAAAAATTAACTGCAGAAAAATATATTAAATTGTCCGTCATTTTTGTTTCTTAACTTCAATCTAATTCATCGCTTGCGCGATGGGAGAAAACCTGTCTGACTAGTTCTCTGAAATACAAATACAGCGCGATATTTGTACTCGTTTTGGGCGTTATTTGTACTCTACGAAGCACAGTTGGATCATAACTGAATACGGAATAAACTTTTGAAAAGAAATAGTATGTACTATGAATTTATCCTGCACTGAACATGATATGACCGTGTTCTACGCAACATATTTCTGTTGGGTGTCCCGTTATTTCAATTTCTCTTGGCGCAAGAACCAAACCAAATTAATCATAAAAACCATCAGAGCGTAGGAAAGTATCACAGTAGCCAATGAGAACTCAAAGTAAATACAACTACATTACCTCGTTAGGAAACGAAACTGATCAATTCAAGTCGAGGGAGGCTTTAATTTGTCTTTGTATCTGATTGCTTTGATTATTTTAGACATCGCTGTATAAATTGTATTCTCTTCATAAAAAGTTAGGGGACTGAGAGGGGGTTTTCAATTACTTTGGAGCTGAAAAATGATAGACTTTATATTTCGGAGCTCAGAGGCCTGTAAAATATCGTTGGTGGGATGTTTTCCAATTACTTGAGGTTATAAGATTTAGATCAAATAGACAACTCTTCTTTCTGGTTCATTCGTTGTTTTGTTGACAAGAGGTGCTAACTGGTACAATAAACACGGATTAGTCTTGCTTTTTTTCCCTTTTCGTTGGGATTTTGAGTGATTTCATAACAATAGGGGTTTCCCATCATCAGTAAACCAATCGTCAATCAATCAATTCCTTTCTTTTTTATGCATAGGTACAAAAGCGAAATGATTGTGATCAGTCATTCATGAAAGATACCAAACCTGTTTGAATTCAGCCATTCCAACTCTCACTTGTGAGGGAATATTCTTGGGAGCTTGGGGGAGCACTACGAAAAAAAGAATCACTAGAGCGTTGCAAGGTAGGAAAAATTACATTAGCGTTTATGATTATTTTACACTACTGATTACAGATGACGATTGGCGACTGACTTTATCTGCAGTAGTCTTCATCGAATTATATGATAGATGATGCAAATTTCGCCACACTTTGCTAATAAGGGAAACTACAGAATAATCCGTACCGAGCGACCATTATCACAGACGTATGAAGTTTTATATTGTTTCAATTTTCAATTCAATTAGTTTCATTTTCCTTGACTGAAGAAATAGTACCTCGATTCTGGCAAAATTTTGAGGGAGTCTAATCTTCATTTCAGCTTTTCTAAGCCTGTCTCATGATTTCTGTTTTTATTTGTTTTTTTTTTTCTCTTCTTCTTTTCGGGAGAATCCTGATTTTCCTTTTCTGTTTTCCTTCCTCCTGTAAACCTGTTCAAATACCTGCTGCTACTGTTTGACTTGACACAAGTCGGTCACAAGGACTTTTCGTTTCGAGAACGTCTAGACTACGAGTAGTCCCTCCTTTTCGGCTAAGTCGAAAGATTCCATAAAAACAATTTACGTTTGCGCACCCGGGTAAGCTTTACTTATACTTGTGACTTGCGTACCACTTGAGCTCTATGAGTCAGGCGCTCGAAAGGTAGGTGATTAAGTCTAACGGTATGGCTTTCCGCGGCGCGCTGACGTAATTTTATTTTATGGATTTTTTCGAGTCGCGCGACGGATTTCGCCGAAAAGGAGGGAATGCACGTAGTCTAGATATTTATGGAACGAAAACTCGTTGTGACCGACTTGCGTCGTAGTCTTAGAACTTCTGATGAAACCGCCATCACTAACTCGCGCGTTCACCGTCTCGCCTATTCTACACCCTCTTAAACTACAGGCTTCTTGCTTGAACCTCATTTTCTGATTTTTCGAATCACTATGGGTAGAAGGTTAGAAGCTTTCGGTTTTCATTGTTCCTTGTCAATCCCCATATTCTCCATATAAATTTTTCTAATGAGAGAATCATTTGGGTCGATAATGGCAATAGCCAAAGCAAAATAAGTTTTTCCGAAGAATTCACTTTTTCGTTACCTTTCCCTGCTTTCTGACAGGAAAACGCGTTCAAAAAACGTCCTGGCTACGGAAAGGTCTATAGTGATTGAAATGAAATTTTTACTTTGTCAATTGCGAGCAGTTAAAATTTGAAAAGTGAAACACAGAACGGAGAGAGAATTGGAGGGGGGGAAGAGAAGGAGAAACAAGGGAGACAGAAGAGAGAATAGTAGAAGGGATCCAACCAATTCAGGAGGCTCCACTATGGAAGTGTGAACATTACCAGCGGAGATGTAGTGTCAACTTTCCACGTTGCGGTGTTTTTTATCCGTGTCACCGCTGTCACAATTTATCTGGGATATGCACTGCTGATGATAAGAAGGCACATCATGCGACACATGTCAAGTGCGGAAATTGCGGACGCGACTGGAAGAAGATGTTAGTATATTTTGCATATTTGGAATCCTGTCGTACTGAAATAGCTTAGAGAAACAAAATTCTAAAAGCACAATTTTGTCCCAAAATACCTGACGTTACATCTAACCTCAGATTGATCAGTAACCAAGATCAGTCGGAGGTCTTTGCCATGAGCGACGCTAAAAACCAAATTCCTTTTAAACATGAAGATCAATCAGATCGACGAAACAATTACAGTAAACCAATGAGCAGATAAATTGATTTGATATAATCAGCATCAAGCGCGGGAAAACAGTTCTTCCCAGGTCTCTACTAATTGAGCCAGATGGTGGTGCCAGTTTTCTAGATCGATCACGCAATAATAAAAAAAACCCAAACCAATGCCGGTTTATTTTCGTCAATCAGTTGAAACGAGAGAAATTGGCTGCAATGAGCAACGGGTTAGGTCACGCCTCCACAGAAATTGCTACAGATATTGCTTATGACGCATTTGTTGCGCACAATGTTTAGTTAAATGGGTAGAAGATGAACAAATTCTTGGCAACATTTTCAAAAGTTTTTCATGCAAGAACTTGTAGGGAAATACTTACAGTTTTTTAAAAAAAGACTGATTATTCTTCTCTATATTGTAGATAAATGAAGGGAGTCAAACCTGCAGACGTTATGGCGTTAAATTGTTAGAATATTTCTGCTCAAAGTGTAAGCATATTACGGGAGTTGACAAGAACCCCTTTCACTGCCGGTGAGAAGTGTGAAATCTCCCGGTAGGTCGTTTTTCAGTCGACTCAAAATACACTGTGACCTAGCGGGAAACTTTTGTAAGCTTGTAGAAGTTGTACTTATCTGTACATTCTGGCCAGCTGCGGATGGAGACAAAATTGAAGTTAGCTTCTTATCGTTTTTACAATGCGCTGTCTTGTGAGCTACGTAGATAGTTTGCGAGCATTTAACTTTTGGAGGCAAATCCGAATAGAATAAAGTAATTGGCGCAATGGGCCTATTATGTATTTTGGGTGAATTTTTTTCCCATTTTTTCTTTTAGCATTTACAAGGACAGATCCTTTCACTGTGACGTGTGCAATGTTTGCTTGAACAAGGGACTGGAGGGAAAACACAAATGTCGGCCGAATTCAGGACATGACGAGTGTTGCATCTGTTTGAAGGTAATTGTAGCTCACTTTTCATTCTTTCAGTGCTTCAAACACAGGTCCACTAATTTACGCATTTTAGTGATACTGAGCAACCTCACAGCCGAAAAGGACACATGTTTCTGTTCGAGTGTTATTGACACTTTATTTCACTCGTTGTTTCAGGACGCGTTCAGCAGATGTCAGATCTTGCCATGCTCTCACAAGGTTCACAGGGAGTGTGCTATTGCAATGATACAGAATGGCGTGTAAGTATGTTTTAAAATGTGTGTAACAACTGTTCGTGACCTATCAATGGATATTAATGTCTGATAGTAATTATGAACTAAGGAATAAGGGTAACAATACATATCTTCAGTAATGGTTTTAACAATCTGAAGAGAGATGAGGACGTCAGTTCTTCGTTGAGACGATGCTGTCATCGTTTAACTGTTTTCGCAGTTACCAATTGAAGTATAAGGTTTTCTTAATTAGTGCCATGAACTGACTCTTCTCTGAGGATGTAAATATCTTGCCTACATTCTATGGGTGAAAAAGGCTCAACGCTATACCAAGTGATGAGGTACAATAACTATAGGAAAATCGTAACTGAGCATCCAACCCAGGAATGCTTTGGTTTACTTCACTCTGTTATTGTCCTTGAAAACCTCTGGCAGCCTCCAACCTCTTAACCAATGCAAGTGCAAAATTGCGATTTGGTCACACACATTTTCCCGCGCTCCAAGAAATTTGAGTACGATCTCAATCGAGTTTAAAAAGTAATCTGGGATTACATTGGTTTTTTCTTCACTTCGTCCTGTGATTGGCCTAGAAAATCCACACCAGCCTCCCATCCTAACAGGTTCAAAACTAAACCCATCCGGGGCTTGGTCACTCCTTTCTTCCAGCCTTGGAAGAAGTTTCATTTCGAAGGATTTTATTAAAACTGGTTTTATCAAAACTGATTTTATTAAAACTAAGGATATACATTAAAAAGACAATAAATTAACACTTGCGTCACGCCCACGAAATCTGGACAGCGGCTATCTATCTAACGGGCGCTTAAATCCAGCGGTTATTCGCTGTAACATAGAGCCTGCCGCCGGCCATCTTGGTATTTGCTGAAAGTCATTATCATGGCATCGCAATCAGATGAAATTTTAGACGAGGAATTTGGAAATAAGTCAACAATATCATGGTGTATATGATATGATGTATCATATCATGTAGTGAACATTATGATGCCCATCCAAGTAAACTTTGCAAGGTTGCCTAGTTAGAAACTTTGACTAGAAAATACGTATCTATTATTGAAGTTATGTTGAGTTTCAAGAATATATTTATAACAACATAGTATTTATATTTGTCATATAACAATGGCTTTTGGCCTCTTTTAATGATTGTAAGAATATTTAATAAAAATGTTTAAATGGCAACAAACAAACAAACACGTGTGAAGGTGTAGTCTGATCGTCCGGGTGAGTGTAGTCCTGAGAAGGACTGTTGTCGGTGGTAGTGACTGACGTTTCGACAACCTGTGCGGAAGTCATCATCAGAGTCAAACAAACACGTTTTGAGTATTTATCTGAAACAAAACGACACTAGAGAGCAAGCAACTTTTCTAAGTTTTGGTGGCAACTTTTTGATATTTTAGCAACTTTAGAGCAACTTTTGGGTATATTGTAAAGCAACTTTTCCTGAATTTACTAGCACAATCTATTCATGCCTAGTCACCAACAGGGTATAAAGGGGGAACATAAAAGATAACTGCATAAAATTGTCCAAGTGACTTATTAGTTAAATCAAAGTTTGTGTATTGCACCGAAGTATGACACATCGTCAGTCGTATTTCTTATGGCCAGTCATTATTTCAAGTATCGTCTAGCAAGGGGGGGAGGAGGAGTAAGAGGATTCTGGGGGGATCGCATCGAAGAAAGAAGGGGGCAGATCAGTCGTCGCAAACAGGGTATAAAGAGGGAATATAAACTGAGATTACTGCATATCAACAGGGTATAAAGGGGGAACATAAAAGATAACTGCATATCAACAGGGTATAAAGGGGGAACATAAAAGATAACTACATATCAACAGGGTATGAAGGGGGAACATAAAAGATAACTGCATATCAACTAGCAAAAGCAGAGAACATAAGACATAAATGAGCCTTATAATGTAATCAGGTAAATCTTAACCTGACATAAAATCTTTGGCCCTCCCCACCCCTCCCCGGAAAGTAATGATCGGTTTCTTATTGCTTCGGTGTAGAGATCAAATATAATATTTCTGCAGGTTCTTATGTACAGGACGACCGAGGGTGAAAAGACTCGGCTACTTGCCACTGCTTCTCAGCAAACTCCCAGCAGATAGTTCCTCAACTAGGTTACTCTCACTCGAGCCTGACCACAATCCAGAGAAGCTTTCTGTCACGGTTTTCTTATCACGGGAACACCCTGTCATATTTCGCGTTGGTCACTTGAGGACTGGGTCACGTAGTAGGCCCTTGTTGATTGCGCTAGCATAATTTTAGGCTGCAGAACAGGCGTAATTTCAGTTGTTTTTATTTTTTGCGTTTTTCAGTCGGAGGTAAGCGAGAAGTGTAATTTTTTCGAGCCCCTCCCATCGCGCGTGACTCTCGCTTCGCGCTCGCCCTGTGCTCGCCTAGGGCTTGTCTCTGTTCGCTTGTAAAACGGAAACATAACTGATTATGAGAGTAATGAGCAAGGCTAAGGACTATCTAGAATGTACGCTGAAGATTTTTGAAACATTTAAAAACAAGAACAGGAACAAAACTAGCTCTATTGGAACAAACATTGTTGCTATACAAACCAACGTAAGTTTAATATACCAGTGTCAGAAAAGCTACCCGGTTGCAGTGAAGTGGCAAGACTGTCTCCTTTTAAAAGCAAAAGACCTCAATCTTCCCGTTCCTCTAGTAGCTGCCATACATTACAATCGAGCAGAATTGTTCTTAGAGCTCAAAGAACCTTTCAAAGCACTTATTACGGAACTGAAGACATTGGATTCACTTCTGAGAGGATGAACAATGAAGTTGGAATATTCTCGAAATTTGTGTCTTCTAAAATTTGTTTGGTGTATGGAATGGCTGGAGAGGTGGCTCGTGCAGAGAAAATGGCTGAGCGCTCGACTTTCCTATCTCTTCCTCCTAAATCGCTATCACCACTAGTCTCGCTTCCTCAAAATCGTTCTCGTCATCACCAGGTTCAGGGTCATCATTATCATCATCGTCACAAGTTTTATCATCGTCACCATCATCATCATCATCGTCATCTTCATTTTCTGCTACGTCATTGATATCTTCTTCATTATCCCTTTTCCTTCCCGATTTTGAAGCCTTCCTCGGATGTTATGGAAAAAGCAATTGGGACTTCTTGTTCGCAATAATCTTGAATATAGTTGATTTCACTTGAATAAGGAAATCTTAGACTTAATATCTTTCTTTGAGGTTTTTGTACCAAGTTGCAGAGAAACGCTCGGGAAAAATAACCCCGCATATGCATAGTTTCTCTGTAGGCAGGGTGTTAGATTTTCTTCTGATGGAGCGAAACATGTCATCCGAAGAATTTCTTCGACGAAGCATTAAGTATTTTGAAAAGTTCTGACTTCGGTTCCGATCACCCGATTTAATGCAATGTAATATCGGTATTGCGCGAAGAATTGCAGGAGGTTCCTCGGTTGAAGTCGTGCCCTGACCGTAGCTGGCGAGAATGTTCTTGTGACGCAGCAGGTGTTGTGAGCCCTGATATTCCGTCCTTTAGAGAAGACAGTAGCAAGTGAGACAGCGACGAAGAATTAGACGAGTCTAGAGGTTCCACAATGGCTGTGTGAAAATCACCAGCGGTTCTGCCGTGTCAAGTTTCCATGTTGCGGAAGGTTCTTTCCTTGTCATGGTCGCTACAACAACTTTGGGTGTCCAAATGACAATTCCAAAGCCAGAGAGGCGTGTTATGTCGAGTGCTCTATTTGTAGCCATCAACAAGGGGTAAATAGACATAATATTGACTTAAAACGTTGTGCAAGTGTTACGCTTAGGTTAAAAGCGAGTTAACTTTGAATGTTTGATTTTGAAGATCAAGCAGGAGGCCCACACCTGTGTCAGATGCAAGACAAAGTTCTCAGCATATATTTGCTCTGTATGTAGACACTTCACGGGCGAAGATAAAGCTCCTTATCAATGCACAAAGTGCGGTATCTGCTGGTAGGTGAAAAAATATTATTGAAGATATTGTTTTCGTTTATATGCGTGTTCTCCAAAGGAATAAGGCACTTGGAATTATTGACCCGCTTCGGCACCAAGTCAGGGAGTTATTGACTAGTGTTAGATTAGAAATGGAGAATCCTGGCCCTATCCTAAAGGCGAGAGCAAAGAAATATCGGTTTCCTCATGCGTATCAAGTTTCCTTTCCAGTAATTATTTCAGCTTAACGTGAAGAAATACAGCGTTTTCCATTATGAGTTACGAATTTCTTTTCCCAGAACGCTTTCAGCGGTTGTCAGATCCTGCCATGCTCATACGAGGTTCACCGAGAGTGTGCTACTGCTATGATACAGAACGGCGTGTAAGTATGCATGAAATATCATGATATCCAATTTTGCAAGTAAACTTGCAGATGATGGAATGCTCCACTGCTGTTGCGCTGAAGATTTGTCCGGCGGTATTTATGTAATTCTGTGTTGGGTTTCTGCGGACCTGCTCGAGTTATGAGTGCGCAATGAGTAGTTTTCTGTTGCATGTAAAACGAAAAACCTCTATCTCCTCATACGGAGCCTTGGTCGCCAATGAGTAAAAGTGATACATTTACGAAAACCGATTGTTTCTTTCTATTCAAATAATTTCGGAAAAGATAGGAAACCACATTAAGAATCCACAGTACAGACGTTCGATGAAACAACGTTACTTTCCTATCTTAATCTGGTAATAACTCATGGGTAACGCCCTGATTGTTCTTATCTGTTCCCTTAGCTTTTCTGGGCTCCAGAGATTATTTCCATTTTGGTTTCAAGACACTTCATGCATGGTGTGGTGGAGCACTCTTCAATCCAAAGCGATATCATTTTATATGCAAACTTTGATAGACTTAATTTTAAGTAAGCCAGATTTTACTTTGACAATCCCACATCAGTTTTTCTCGAGTTCACCAGAAATATTTTCTTTTAATTTGCAGTCGCAGCTGCCCCATTTGCCGTCATCTTTTGTAGAGTCAGACAGGAATCAGCGAGTGAATAACAATCTCGATTTCAGTGTGCAGCATTCTGAGAAAATGTAAACTTTCCACATTGAGATGTTTTACAAAGTGCCTTAATTGAGGTATTCTTTCTATACATTAGCCGTGCACTGAACCCTTTACCCCTACGAGTTACTGCCTTCTATTTTCTTCTTACAGTATCACCCTAGAATCAAATGTAAATGTCACGATAATGAAGGCAGTGATCACCAATTTAGCAGGCTTCTGATTACCAAACAAATTCTGATTGTCAGTTCCAGAGGAATTGTAACTAAAATAGTGTGGAAAGTTTGACTGACACCAATGTTAGGGGGGTATAAAAGGGTTCAAGATCTTAATAGTCATTCAGTTAATCTCACTTGCACAAGGACACAGACCTGAGGGAAGGGGAAATGAGGGTGGCAGGATCCCTCTACTCTTAGTGATTCCGATTAAGTGGCTTCCACATCCAATGATCTACCGCAACCAATAGAAGGCCATTCATCCCTTAAACGATTTGTATAAAATTGTGTCAGCCAGTGGTAACTATGATGAGGAGATGCAAAGCCAGGTTTAAGATTATCATAACATTGAAGCCATCGCAAAATAATATCTCTTATTATTATAGATAAAACAACGTCGTAAGTTGTCCACTAGCCTGAGCATGAAAATAGCTATAATAGCGGGCTGTTTTGTGGGATTTTATTACCCTTACACTTTCAGCCTAACAAAACGTTGCAAATGGTAGGTTTTTTTCATGGCAATTAGAATGCTATGTGAAATAAAGCCTCTCAGAGATGTTTTCGCATATGGTCACCCCAGAAAAGGAAAGAAGCTAAAGAGTTTCAAATTTCATCTTCCAGTTTACTTTTGAGAGATGTGCAATAGAAAGGAACGGAAGAAAAATTTCGCATAAGTAGTGCGGTGATCATATTAAGTGACGAGTAATTTGCGTGCCTTTGAGGTAGCTATAAAAATGTACTGATCATATTTTATAATGAACTGGTAACCTTCATAAATGGAAGGTATTTACTTTTCTTAGGTTTCCCCTTTTTAGTGTTTCATTTTGAGTTAACCTTAAAAACTGAAACTTCAGGTAGTTATGATACAAATCGTAGCTACCCGATTATACCCATTATATCATTTTAGCCAATAAGCTAGAAAGACTTTGTATGAGTCTATTTTATTGTTCTCTTTCTTCAACAATTCTATATTTATTACCAAACGCAGAGTAGGGTCAAAGTTATGGATAAATCAGTCATGTTTTGAAAGTTTTTCCGTTTTAAAACGTCATTCACTCTAATTGAACGTAAAATCCAAACATTTTAACTCTGTTCCCTTCAATAGAGCATCACTTTTTGTAATATGACTGGCTATGAGTGACAATGACTATCACTGACTATTTGTACAGTAACAAACCATGGACACAGCATATATAGTCCACTCTTGGCAAACAGGTTTGGTAACTAATTCATGGAGACAAAATATATAATCGACTCTTAGCAAACTTTCTTGGTAAACGCAATAAATTTATACTTTTTCTCTGTGCCTCATGCTAATACATTTCTGAGAATCTGGTCGATACTTACTG